ACCACACTTACATTCCAGTTATCTGAAATGGTTTTATGACAGGACTATGTGCACCTTAAAGTGCCTGTGACATGAAATTTTTAAAATAAATATAAAACGCATTATTGGAAAAATAATTTCCCGCTGCTGAGATGAACAGTTGTTGAGATATTTGCATGTGAAGAAACAGGAAGTGATGTCAAAGGGGAATGTCTGCATGGAACAAAGCATTGATAAAATAGCAAACGACAGACTGTTGAGAAGAATCTGATGTTTCTTTAGATTATTTTTGATTCACTATCAGAGAGATGAAGACGAGTCAGAGTTCAAATAATGTTTCAAATAAAATACAGAGTTCTGTTAGAGTTCCCCTCTGATGTCACTTCTTGTTGCACTTTGGCTGAGCCAAGTTCAAAATAAAATTTGCCATTTTTGAGACAAAATGGGTAAAATCACATGTTTTATGCAAGGTTTCTTATATAAAATGTGTTTTCTTTGACTTTTAGTATTTGATGGACAGGCATGTCACAGGCACTTTAAGCCCCTGAAGGTCCTGTCACACTGTAACATTTTGGCCAACTTAAAATGTTTTTATGTCTAAATGACTAATTTTACTTGAAGTTCTGGTTATAACATCCACTTTGCTTTGATATTGTTGAAAATTTAGAAATATTTTTGTTTGAAACCATTTTGCAAAATGTATAAAACATTGTTTTGTACTTCTGTTATGTTCATTTGCACTAAAAATGCTGAGTTTGATTATGATGACAGTTTTCTGCTAAATAAATGCTCTAAAAATGACGTTATCTTTGCTTTTTATGATAATTTTCTACCGCGATATATACCGTTACTGTGAAGAGATTTAATTTATACCTGATATGAATTTGAGGTCATACCGCCCAGCCCCGGTTTTACTTTTAAAAAAACATGTTTTATTTTATTTATCCCTTTAATTTTCTTCTGCTTATCGTTATTTTTGCTCCACTGGTAACTTCCCTTTGAGGCCAGCCTGAGTAGGAAATTGACACATCCAGTCTAAGATGTTCACCCAGCTAAAAAAAAAAAAAAATTAACGCCTACTTGACAGAATAATTGCTCAGGCATCATCACCGCGGCGACGAGTGACGGAGCACAGAGAAGATGGAAAAACTGCTGCTGAACAACATTCCTGCAAAAAGTTACGTTTTGATTCAAAATGGATAAAACTGAATTTTACGGTTATAAACTGTAAAAAACAAGGAAGCAAAGTACTTTTCTCATCAGTGACGTCACAGGAAGGGATGTTTAAGTCACATTCTTTCTTTACGGTTTTGTGTTTTTAATATGAGCCAGCTCACCTTACATTTCCCAGTTTCTGCTCCTCTTCTTCCTCACCACTCCTCGGCTCTTGTTTTCTTCACATTATCATATTATCTCACAGCGGGGGCGGTAGAAGAAGAAAAAGAAAAAAGAAACATTAAGCAAGCAGCCAAAGACCGTAGGTGACGGGGAACAAACCAGAGATAATCAGACTAAATCAGGCCCACCTCATCTGCAATTACCTGCTGTTGCTATGACACGACTAAACTTAATGACTTCCTGCCATTACGTGCAATCACTCTCATGTGCATCCTAATATTCTGGATGACTGTTAGAGCCCAGAACAAAATAATTGAGATTCAAAGAGGAGCAGCAGAAAAAAAAACATCAGATTCTGGTTGTTTGACACACCTGTTGGGGGGCATTAGAGCTCAGGTGAAAACCACAGATGTTTTCTGACCTTTAACATCTTTAACGTTAGACAGAATATTTGTTTTGTTCCTGATAAAAACACAGCTTCTGTTTCAGACACTTGCCAATTTGCAGAGCGTGTGCTAAAACTCCTTTTGTTCATTTTTATTAAAGTTGGCACTCGTACAGATTTATCTCCGTTCTCAGTAAAACGTGAGATCATAAAAAATGTCTGGAAAACATTTTCTTTTTTAAATAAATTATTAAATGAAAACTCTTACTACCACCTGTTCAGCACGGTTCCGTTCACCGGAGAACAAATAAAGAGCCTGAGAAGAACCAGGATTGATGCTGCTCTTTGTGTGAATGCTGAGTCAGCAGCTGAGTCACCCTTAATATGATTATTTATCAGTTATTTTCTTTTCTCTGTTATTTCTAACTCCTCTTGAATACTTTGTATTGTTTGAGTCATCCATTTATCAAAACATTCAGAAAACGGGTGCTCGGATTTTTTACTTTACATACAAATGTTTACTCCAGATAAACACATTAAAATATCTTTGATTCCTTCAGAAACATTGTTCTCTTTGAAAACAGCTTCTTTTCATTTTAGCTTTTAGTGCATGTTTTGCTGCTTTTAGGTAGCATTTTGCTACATTTCATCTTTAGCCAGACTTTAGTTATGTTTACATTCACCAAACACAGTTCAAATGGCAGGCAGTGTAATCATAAAGTCAACAAACTGTACAAAATGGGATTGTTGCAAATCTGTAAATACATTACAACAAACCTGTAAATACGTTACAACAAATCTGTAAATACTTTACAACAAATCTGTAAATACTTTACAACTAATCTGTAAATACTTTACAACTAATCTGTAAAATGTTACAACTAATCTGTAAATACGTTACAACTAATCTGTAAATACTTTACAACTAATCTGTAAATACGTTACAACTAATCTGTAAATACTTTACAACAAATCTGTAAAATGTTACAACTAATCTGTAAATACTTTACAACTAATCTGTAAAATGTTACAACTAATCTGTAAATACTTTACAACTAATCTGTAAAATGTTACAACTAATCTGTAAAATGTTACAACTAATCTGTAAATACGTTACAACTAATCTGTAAATACATTACAACTAATCTGTAAATACTTTACAACTAATCTGTAAAATGTTACAACTAATCTGTAAATAC